AATGATGCACAAATACCTGTCCGGCGTAGTAGAAACTCACCCGAATGTAAGTCACTCCTATCCATCTGGGCCTTATTGATCATGCATAAGGAGCAATTCGTCATGAACAAGAAGCGAAAAATGGGACAGTGCGGGAAAGAGGCTACACAGAACACCTTATTCGGATTATTGTCCACTATATTTTCAGGGTTCATGCCATTTTTAAGCGTTAACGCGGTTCTATGAGGCTCTTTTGATGGCAGCTATCTAGTGCCAATGGAAGAAGTAGGTGATCGTTTTTATTGAACAATCTTTGTCTGGAGTAGTCAGGGATGAACTTCATCTGTTTTGCATCCCAGATTTAGAACTGTTGATTCATAGGACTTAAGTATATATTAGACTGACCCTTGTCACTTACATGCACATCATGTTTCTGCAAGTTCGAATTCATTACACTGAGGCAGTCAAATGCATTTTTGCCAATTTATCCAGGTGCAATTGAACGCATTCTTCAATCTTCTTACCTTATGCACACGAGTGTTTTCTCCCGTCCTTTTGAACTACCTCATAAGAGCCCAAATATAAACTGACAGTGTTTTCAGTTTCTTTTAAGTAACAAATAATAATAAGTTGTTTTCGACTAAAATTGTAGTTTGCTAATGATTACATTGCCCAATAATTGATTAATCTACACTTTTTAAATGGTATTTTATCCTTCCAGCAGTGTTTTACCGGTATTTTATTCTTCTAGCACTATCAGAAATTACCTTTGTCCATCAAACTATCCTGTGGAGCTGGAAAAGAAAGGCACATTATTTATCGGACTGACTGGTTCGAATGTAGCTACTTTTCCACCAGTCGAACCTCTAGATATCTGTATAGAGCCATACGTAAGCAAAAGGATTGTTTATTGGTGTTGAGAATGGAAAGAATCAAGAGGAAGGGATCGATTCTCCCTAAATGTTGGGCTCATTCAGTAAATAAGCGGTAAAAAGCGGATGAACGACAAGCATGGAATTTCACCGTGAGTAGTTAGTCGGTAGATGCATTTTCTTCAACGATATAAGGAGGTTCTCATAATGTGTACAACCAAAAGCGCATAACTATTGTTGGTACTCAGCTTTTAGCCCTTTCTTTTCAAAACAATATACTCACAATTATCTCAAATGTCTCCGTTTGCCAAATATACCCCTTTCGTTAATCGTTATGACTGTCTCTTTGTTGGCCTCTTTTGCTCAAACTAAACAGTGATAGGCACTTGACGCAAGATAAGCAAGACACAGTTGACCAAAACTTGATTTAACTGAGAATTATGAGGCAGTTTATAGGGAAAAAATATATGGAGTGAACAGTTGGGGACTAGAAGTATTATCGACAAAGGCGAGGAAGTTTGTCACCTAAGACCCTTCAACTACTGACTCGAGGGTCAATAAACAGGACCCCGCTTACCAATTCCTAATCAATTAAATCACTTGCAGTAAAATCATGTCAATTAAGGACGCAAATGTGATCGTCCAAGCAGTAACGACATCCTTTACATACACCTGCAATTCACACGGGCGTCGGACATTTTTGCAGCCTTGTGGTGGCGTAACAGGTGGAACCTGTGTCCGGTACCTGCACTTGTTGCCGTCACAAGTGGAACCGAGGGACCAGTTGAATGTATTTTAGTTTATTTTTTGAGGGTGATAAGCAACGCCTTTAAAAAGCCCACTGTTCATATGGTGTTGCGTCATATGCATCTGTACACGCACGCGTAAATATTGTCAGTATACTAATAGTATTCACAAACTGTGAGTAGCATTTTTTTGCAAACAACCCTTGTCTAGAGTTTGCGTGGTATTAGCTCGAGTTCAGTCTGTCGGGATACATGGGTATACTCGTTAATGTGGACGTAAGCATGATCAGCAGAGGCGGATAAGGACTAAACATAATGGAAAGCATACATCTTTTGTCTTCAATAATTTAAACAACTTAAAATCCAGAAACAACAGCGCTACAATATCCAGTGGTATTACAGCACTTCTGCGCTTCCACTTAAAAAGGACTTGGAGACCGTGTCGCATAAAGTAAAAATCTAGTCGGAATTTTGAATTTCTACAATACTGTGAAAGATCGCGTAAGGAGCGAGCTAAAATTATAACACGGAGGATATTATGTGCAATTGCATAATTTTGGAACAGATCCCAGAGGAAATCCACGAACTGCCGAGCGTGTTGAGATCAATCAACCAACTTTCCACGGCATCAAACCTGCGACGAAGTGCCTCTGGCCTGAGTTCTACCGACACATGCATTTCGGCGGACCGATACCTCAAGGAGAGTGCGCATCCTTCCGGCAGCGCAGTCACTCCGATGTTCAACCAGCGAGAATCCAAGCTATCCACAATCAGTGCACCGCAAGGGCTCGGTTCGCCATGCGGGTTCGAATGCCGTCCTGTACGTTTCCAGCATTCAGAAAGAATGCAGGTTTTTGTTACTCGTAAAACCTATATTTTTAATTAAGGGAAATCCGTTGACAACTAAAGTAGCAATCTGCCTGTAGTCCGTGATTATTCGCATACAATTTTAACCAAAATTTGAAAATGCAAATAAGATTAGGAACGGTTACTTAAACGAAATTTGAATGTTTATTATTTTGGAACATAATCCCAAAATATGCCAGACACACTTTTGAACGAACGCCTTTTCAGTCTACTGAATAAAAGCTCATTCGATAAAAATGATAACCTTAATAGTGTTCATTTTGTGTACATTTTTGATGCTCGTACAAATTTGTATCAAAGTAATAGAAAAGAGGGGCGCAATTGTTTAGTTCTATCCGTGGAATAGAAAATCACGTCTCCTTTGAACTTATATTCAAGAAAAAAGAACGTTATGGTTTCAGAAAGGCTTTTAATCGTGAAATATGTGAGGACTGTGCAATTTACATTCAAGTCGGGCCGTATTTTTCTTCCTCTATAAGTGTCCCAACGGAAGTATACGGTACTGTTCACATCCACAGCAAAATTATATGATCACCATATATTGTCTTCTTAATAGCATGCACAACCGCATTATATTTCATCCATGGGACGCAAATAACCGTAGGCTAAAAATTCTAAACGCAGACACAAGGGCGGATCCGACTGTAATTAATTCGGGGATCGGAAAGCTTTTTTAATCCCTGAAGGTGGCCTTCCTTTCAGCATAAAATTTTATGAAGGTGGAACTTTCGACCAAATAGGTACAGGAAATAATACTTTTTGCTTATGCTTCCTACAAGGTATATTTGAATATGTGGGGGCATCGAAAATCTATATAAAAGGTGAACACTACAATAATAATCATTTTTTTTGAAAAGGTTTGTTTCAGAAAGCTGGAATGGCGTTCATTCAAAAGAAGCACCCTACTGTTGCTGAAATATATTTTGGGCTTTTGCACCAAGACAATAAGTAGTACAAGCCTAATTTAGCACTCACGCCTAATCAAAAATGCATTTTGAATTTTGGTTAAGATTTCATTTGACCAGTCACTGATTATCGCTGTATATTACTGGCACTTCGTATTAATAACAATAAGAAAACCATTTTATCCTTCCCATGCAGGTTTATCGCGATATTAAGTTGCCGGTTAGATGTTATTTTTTAGGCTGTTCAAAATAGTGCTAATGATTTTTGTCAATGACGCAGCCCGTAAGTATGACACTGGTCTTTTATGTTTCATATTAATTTCGCAGATCCAACTGGAGGGACACTTTGCGAACCCAAGAAATGTGGCTTATTCTGGTCTTCCTCGAAGAAACGTCTCTTCGCATCCCTCCCTGTTGAGGTTAGACACATCCAGTGAGAGCAAATCACCTGTCAAATTTGACAACGCTTCCGAGACTGCGGAGGAGGAAGAGGAAGTGGGCGTTGGAGAAGTAGGTGCAGGAACTGACTCTGAATGCGAGCGGCTTGATGAAAAACTCTGCGCCTACTCGACAAGGGATCAGCAGTTCTTTGGCGACGACTTCCAATGCAACGGGGCAGCCGCATCCGGGATCACGTCAAACCTAAGTAAACCCTACACAGACGCGGAATTAGGTTCGATTAATGAAGCGGTAAGTGACTGCAGAGTGCTTTACTTGAAAATCTTTTATGATGACATCTCAGGAAATTTGCATACGCTGATGTCCGAACCACTTGCGGCCCCTTTTTTTGAGCAGCCACCGACAAAATTACATAAGAAATCCTACGAAAGATTTACATTTCATTGAAACTCATAGAAGGGACTTGCGGTAAACAGTCACATGTGATTATCCTTTGAACCACTGTGAAATAAACGATAATGTAGTTTGCGGGTAAGAGGTCGATAAAAGGGGTGCAGAGGATGATGTGAAAGAACCAAACGGAGTGGTGCAAATGCATCGGTTTTTAGATGCTGGGACATGAGGTTTATAAGGAGAGGAATCATTGGGGGGGGGTGAGGGCAAGCCAAGATAGACCTTGATATTGCACCAAGATCTTCAGGGTTCGAGGAACTGAGCCCTGGTATTAGCCTCTATGTTGCTCAAGGTACGCTGTCGCAAGTACTTCGTGTCGAACTTTGACACCATAGAGAGGATAAGAGGCAGACGACTGAGAATGCAGTTACACTGAGATTGGACAGATGTGAGATTAGTCCGTTCTCATTCAGCCCATCATAAACCTGACCACCATCGGTGATCAGAAACACAAGCATGCACATGTCCACGGCGTAGAAGATGTGCAGAAAAAGTCTACGAACACGTTTGCGTTCATCCCGGATTGACTCTATAGACTATTTCAAAGGCTTTGTTTGAGTCAGCCCTGAGTTCAGGTTCCTCTAAGTGCTCTGGGATAGAACTCGACTGAGCCATCAATCTACTAATGATTTAGTCTAACGATCTATCTTCCCTCTGTCATGAAAAGGTATCCTTGAGTATCTGAGGTCTGTAATATTTCTGTTCTTAATTCATTAGACATCCAATAGCAACAACTAATAGACTTGACCTAAACTTATAGTTCACAGGGATAATCGGTAAAAACAAGGCTGCCAAAGGCAAACATCTACTAATGTTTTCGTCTACCGACTTCCCCTTCCTGCTTTCCTAAAAAAGGTAATCTTGGGTAATCGAGGTTTGCGAAATATTTGCCCTTAAGTAATTAGACAACGGGCAAAAACAGTTAATAGAATTTACCTAAATTTATAATTCACAGGAATAATCACCAGTTTATGCATTTGTTCTTATCTGTGTCAGGCTGCGGATAACACCATGCCTACGAAAGGTACCCCCACCGCCAGTACCCCAGTAAAGGTATTTTCTCCGCCACCCCGGCCACCAGTCTCCGCAAGCACTCTTAAGTCACCCAGTTCACCTGGCGTTAGCAGCAGAAATCTCAGAGGACGCTCAAATTCTCTCAAACAGAGGGCTTCGCCAAAGCTCAGTGCTCCGGC